GGGACCTGCTGCATCCCCGCCCCCCCCAGCACGGGGTCCTCTCCCGGTGGAGTCACAGGGGACCTGCTGCAGCACCGCCCCCCCCAGCACGGGGTCCTCTCCCGGGACCTGCTGCATCCCCCCAGCACGGGGTTGAGACAGCAGGTCAAGTGCCCTGGACCAGGGAAGCATGAGACTCCCGGTCCAGGGTTTTCACACTTAAATTACTTCTCAATCAGAGAAGAAATACAAGATTTAAAAACAACATCTCAGGAATGTTAGGATATAAAGCAGTTATCAGAACAACAAAAATGAAAAGACATCAAATATCTAATTCCTAAAACTAGTAAACCAAGGAAAAGTGGAATAAAAAAATTGATAACATTAAAAAATTAATAAGCATACAAAGAACGGTAGTATTAAGAAATGTAAAAGATAGTTCTTTGAAAAAAATCAACAAAAATACTAATCAATAAAGAAAAAAGGGAGAAAACACAAATATGTGTAATTAGAATTAATAATTAATAACCATCAAAATAGAAGAATAGTACCTCATAGAATTTCTACCCAATTTTTAAAGATCAGATAATCCAAATGCTACTTAAAATATTCCAGTCTATAGGAAAAAAGGAAAATGTACAAATTCATTTTCTAATCTGAGTATATTACAACCAAGAAAGGAAAAATCAATTCCACTTATTAATATTTATGACAAAAACATAAAAGAACAATTAGCAAGGAAAGCCCAAGAGCATATTAAAAATTAATCCATCAAGACCAAGTGGCGTTTATTCCAGGAAGGCACAGTGGTTCAATATTAGAAAATTCACTCATCTAATCCAACACATTAACAGAGTGTCTTACTCCCTTCCGGCTGCTATAACAAACTACGATAGACGGGCGACTTAAAAACAACAGAAACTTATTTCTCAGAGTTCTGGAGGCGCCAAAGTCCAAGATCAAGGTGCTGGTCCTCTGGGGAGAGCTGGCTTCCGGGTTCACAGACAGGCAGTTCCTCACTGTCTCCTCCCATGAGGTTAAGGGTCAAGGGAGCTCTCC